ACATAAAACAGATCCTTCAGCACACTGTGTATAATGAGAGAAAAAAACTGAAATCATTATTTTTCGATTAAAACAGCAACTTTGCAGTGTTTTTTCGTATGTTTTTTATAGTTGTATTTGCGATTTCTTGGTTTCATTTGATAGAATGGAAGACATATTACAGAAATAGAGATGATTTTGATTGGTTTTAGCAATGGAAATGGCTTGAAAATGAGCTCAAAGTAGCGGAAATGTTAAATTTTTGCCGATATTCAAGAGTAAACAAACGACCCTCACGTCTAATACACGTCAGCTGGTGGGTCTAATATACATTCACAAATATGGTGATGATATTTATACAATTATTACAGTATTGCATAACAGTAAATCTTCTATTTTTTGGTGTGAATAAAAATTCATTGTGTGAATAAAAAATCAAAATGGAATTTATTTGTAAAGCCTCAAAACATAACTAATGAACAGAGGAAATGTTAGTTTAGTGCCAGGAATGCCTACATTGTTTATTCTGGACCCTATTTGAAATTGGAATATTTTGAACTCTGTGTTAAATTGGCCAAATTAACAATTTCCGATCACTTTATTTTGTAGTTGAAACAGTTGACTTGGCGATTTCTTGTGCTCAATCGATAGAATAGAAGTAATACTAGTGAAATAGCTAAGAATTTGGTTGATTGGAATAATGTAATTGGCCTAAAATGGGAGTCAAAGTCGGCAAAATCGCCGATTCGTAAATATCGCTGACACATCAAAATTCGCGAGAGCATAATTTCGTCAATTTTCCACCAAATTTCGTACTTTTTGTTTTATTACCTTCACAAAAAGATTCTCTACGATTTCATAAGAAAAAATAACAAATTTTTTTTTTTTAAATTCTTGGACACTGGTGCGTGACTCCAGATTTGGGCCTTGGACCCTGAAAGGGTTAAAAAAAAAAAAAGTGAATGCTATGGTGTTAGGGTGAGGTACAGTATTAAAAAATAATGAATATGACAAAGTGGGAGCTGTTACAATTGCTCTTTCTTGATGACATACTTGTTTTGGGAGATTCTGAAGAGATATTGCAAAAGGTGGTGGAAGAATTTGGGAGGGTAAATTTGGTACAATTACACACGAGTACTATTACACAAGTTATAGACAATTACAATTACATGTAGTTTTACATAGTAATATATGCAATAAGATGAATGTAAACAGGTGATATCATAATATGTAAAACAACCACTCTGAAAAAAATAGAGAAATTCCAAGCACTTCACAGGTCCTTCATAATATGAGAAATCATGAAAGTACATACTTGGAATTTCACTATTTTTCATAGTGGTTTTTTCATGGTAATATATGTCTAAATTACTTAGGATAACCAAAAAAAGTAAAAGAAGGAAATAAAAGTGAATATAAGAAAGAGAAAAGTGATGAAAGTACATAATGAAAAATATAAGCACATGCAAGACTTCATAAATATGAAGGAAGTGAATGTATTCAAATATTTGGGAGTGGACATGTCCGCATATGCATTTAAAAAAAAGGTGGCGAGCTGCAGAAAAGATGAAGAGCAAAGGTAGGTGGTGTGTTGAAGCATCAGTGAAAGGAAAGAATTTTATCTATGGAGGTAAAAACGGGGAATGTACAAGGGAATAGTAAGACCAACAATTCTACACAGGTGTGAGGCATGGGTATTAAATACTGTAGAAAGGAAGAGGATGGAGGCAATGGCAAAGTCAGGTTTGTAGGTATACAGTGGAACCTCGGGTTTCGTGGTTAATTTGTTCCAGAAAGTTTGACGAAAACCGCATTGTACGAAAATTGAAGCAATATTTCCCATAAGAAATAATGTAAATCCGATTAATCCGTTCCAGACACCCAAAAATATTAACAAAAAATACATTTTATAGAGAATATAGTTTTACATACAGAAAAAATGAGAAATAAATATAAATGACTAAAGAAATGGATAAATGAACATTTAACATCACTTTTACCTTTATTGAAGACTCTTATTGGCGTATGGAAGACGGCGAGGAGGGGAGAGGGAGAAGGAGAGGTTATTGTTTGGAAGGGTTATCCCCCTCCATAAGGACTTCAGGTATCAAGGCCCTATCTGGGGTTACTTCCCTTCTTTGTCTTTTACTGGCACTAGGACCAGCTTGAGAGTCGCTGGACCCTTGTCGCAAAAAAAATCTGTTCAGAGAGGTCTGTTTCTGGCGTCTCTTTAAGATTTGTCTAAAATTGGACAAGGCATTGTTACTGATCATGTTGCAGACACAGCTTGCAACAGCTTTGTTAGAGTGATATTTCTCCACAAAACTTTGCAACTCATTCTACTTTACACACGTCTTTAATCGCTGAAGAAGGCACATTCTCCCCTCTCTCTTCCTTCTCCTCTGAAGCAATTTCTTAAACTGCAGTCTGTTGCTGTTTCAGTTGAAGGTCTTGCAGCTCTTCAGTGGTTAGCTCTTCCCTGTAGTTGTTCACCAACTCTTCCACATCCTGGCCATTCACATCCAACCCATGGACTTCCCCAAAGACACAACAGATTCCACAACAGGCACAGGGTTGTCAAGGTCAGCCTCAAACCCTTCAAAATCCTTCTTGAGGACACATTCTGGCCATAATTTTCTCCAAGCAGAGCTCATTGTCCTGGAAGTCACTCCCTGCCAAGCCTTATCTATAAGGCTTATGCAACTGAGTATATTGAAGTTATTCCTCCAGAACTCTCTTAGGATTACGCGTTTGGTACGGCAGACCACTGTCAAGTCTACAAAAACCGAGCAAATGTATGAAAACTAGGACAAAATTTCGATGAAAAAAGTAGTTGAAAACCAAATCCTACAAAAACCAGGGCATACAAAAACTGAGGTTCCGCTGTAATGTGTGGTGTGAATATTTTTTGTAGAATTCAGAGTAGAAATAAAAAATCCAAGTGGATTTACCAAAAATATAATTCAAAGGGCTGAGGAGGGACTGTTGAAGTGGTTTGGGCATCTGGAGAGAAAGGAGTAAAATAGGATGACCATGAGGGTGTATACATGTATTAACATGGGGTGGAAGGAAGGACACGGTCTGGTTGTCACAGGAAGAATTGAAAGGATTGCATAATGAAGGTTTTCAATGCTAGGGCCTTGAGCATCCAGCAAGCCAGTGTGATCATGTTAAACTCAAGTGAATGGAGACGAGTAACTTTTTACGTTTATGTGCTATTGCGGTATAAGCAAGGTAACATTTATGAAGGGTTTTACGAAAACCAGTTAGCCTTGGAGATGGGAAGAGCAGTGCCTGCACTTTGAAGGAGGGGTAGGAATTGTGATGTCTGCACACTTCTGGCAAGACAGCTACTGAATGAGTGATGGTGACTGATTTTCATTTTTAGGGGGTCACCCTACCTTGATGGTAGATGCCCTAACATAGGTATAGAAGACAGTTGTTGCTTATACCCTGTGAATGAGAGCTGCACAACAGTATTACAGTGTACACTACACTGAGTGTGCATATCACAGTGAATGCACAATCTTTCTTTCTTTCAACACACCGGCTGTATCCCACCAAGGCAGGCTGGCCCAAAAGGAAAAATGAAATTTTCTCCTTTTACATTTAGTAATATATACAGAAGAGGTTACTAGCCCCTTGCTCCCAGCATTTTAGTCACCTCTTACAACACGCATGGCTTACGGAGGAAGAATTCTATTCCACTTCCCCATGGAGATAAGAGGAAATAAACAAGAATAAGAACTAGAAAGATAATAGAAGAAAACCCAGAGGGGTGTGTATATATATGCTTGTACATGTATGTGTAGTGTGACCTAAGTGTAAGTAGAAGTAGCAAGACGTACCTGAAACCTTGCATATTTATGAGACAGAAAAATGGACACCAGCAATCCTACCATCTTGTAAAACAATTACAGGCTTTCGTTTTACATTCACTTGGCAGGATGGTAGTACCTCCCTGGGCAGTTGCTGTCAATCATTGCATAGAAATCTTCACATTAGATACAATTTACATGGAATGTATGAGAAATATAATAATAATTTGCAAGCCTAAGGCAAAAACAGTAGATTGCAAACTAGAAAGAGAAGCTTTTTTTACTTGTAAATGGTTTAGTAACTTTCTCTACTTTCTGAGGCCAGGCTTCCCAAATGACTGCCTGGTCAAGCCCACCATTGCTATTTGTTGCCAACATAACCATCACTGCCCAACTGATCATTAGTTATTACTATATTAATGAAGTGGTAAAATGTTTGGGGAATGGAAAATAATCAGGTTTGATCCAAGTGAAGGGCAGTTACAATTTTATGAATCAAGATACCTTCATTGGACCAAGATGATCAACTATCTCCTCAATGAACATATCTCAGACTTTTTTATTTATTAACACACCAGCCACTTCCCACTGAGGCAGGGTGACCCAAAAGAAGAAACACTTTCATCACCACTAACTCCATCACTATCTTCCAGAGGTGTGCCGACATGAGTTCAAAACCTGCAAAATACATACACCCCTTCTTCAGAGTGCAGGCATTGTACTTCCCACCTCCAAGACTCAAGTGCAGGTAACCAGTTTACCCTGAACCCTTTCATAAATGTTACCTTGCTCACACTCCAACAGCATGTCAAGTCATAAAATCCATTAGACTTCTCTCGCTCCAATTCAATACACTCACGCATGCATGCTGGAAGTCTAAACCCCTTGCACAAAAACCTCCTTTACCCCCTCCCTCCAACCTTTCCTAGGACAACCCCCACCCGCCTTCCTTCCACTACAGATTTAAACACCCGTCAAGTCATTTCTTTGTGCTTAACAATATTTTACTACGTGTAAACTACATATTGTATACTACACAAAGAAATAAATTTTTCAATTTGAATTCGAATGCTTTCTAAATGTCCAAATCACCTTAATAACCCTTCCTCAGCCCTCTGGAAAACACTTTTAGAAACTCCACTCCTCCTAATCTCCAAACACAATTAATGTAGTCTAATAATAAATAACATTAACACTACTCACTTCATATGACCAGGTACACGGGACTTTAGCATATTTTCTTACACATCGTCCTACTTCAACATCTTCATGGGTTGACCAGAGGTTTTTGAGGCAGTCTCGAACGTGAGGAGCAACTTGTAACAACGTGCTGCGACTCATGATAACACCTGGGCCTCCCATGCAGAAGTTTTCATCCATCTTCAGGGAGAGGTGTCCAAATTCTTCTTGGTTTCCTTTGCCAGCCTGCCCTATGAAATGAGCCTTGGTGCTATTTACAGAGCGTAAAAAGAGCTCTAATTTGTCAGGGCGGACGTATATATCATCGTCTGCACGCATGAAAAACTCAAAATGGTCCGCAAAATGTTCTGCCATATATTTTATCATCATAAATGACTTTTTCTGTGGAGGATATGAATCATCGACACCTCTTAATCTGATTAAAGGAATATCAACATTCGTAGTTGATGTTTCTGAAGAAAAGAATGCTATTTTTCCAGGCAACTGCTTGCCCCAAGTTTCATACACAGCTTTAGCACGAGTATCCAAATATTTATCTGCTGTCATAACACCAACAAACAGTAAGTTTTTAGCACTATTGTGAGTATCTTTACTAATGTCAAATCCTATTATTCTATAAGCATCATTCTTATCATCATAAATTGGCACATTTCTTAAAGATAAGCACATATGAGGTTTGAGCATTAAGTGTCTAATAGCTGCTGTAAGTATGAACCCTAAAAATATTCCTGTAGAAACACCAAGTAATTGACTGAGTGTTCCATGCCTCCCATGTGATCCTGAGTTACCACTCAGAGAGCGAACTGTTAGTCTCATCTTTAAGGGTCGTGGAACGAGTTCTATGCCTACTGGAGGTGCCCGGTACTGGTATGGGTTCATTATCTCTGGAAAAAAAAGAAACAGGAATTGGTATTACTTATCTACTTTATTACATCCATGCAAAAATTCAATTAGAGCTTGTTTTAATGTTAAGAGAGCAAAGCATGATTTTTAAATTCCTTAAGCATTTAGACTAAATAAAATGCAAATGTGTATTAAAAATTTAAACATTTTGGTTAATATACCAAATCGCAAATGCACCCAGGTAAAACAGAAAAAGTTTCAAGAATCTATAGTTTTACTGACTGGCATCCAACCTTTCCAAATGACATTTGAGACTTCCTAAACTTCTTTCTCTGCTACCTGAGCTATCCATTAAGAGTTTTATCCACATTTTGTCAATCTAGTAAGTTTTCTACTGCAATAAATATAATACTGTAGGTAAAAATCTGTACACTTTTTATTAAGAACAAGCTGTAACAAATATTAACTGCACAGTATAAAATAAATTATATATATATATATATATATATATATATATATATATATATATATATATATATATATATATATATATATATATATATTTATTATATATATATATATATATATATTTTATATATATATATATTTATATATATATATAATATATATTTATATATATACAATATATATATTTATATATATATATAATATATATTATGTATATATATATAATATATATATAATATATATATATATATATTATATAATATATATATATATATATATATATATAATAAATAATATATACTGCTCTAGGTAGTAGGCTGGTAGACACCAACCGCCCAGGGAGGTACTACCGTCCTGCCAAGTGAGTGTAAAACAAAAGCCTGCAATTGTTTTACATGATGGTAGGTTTGCTGGTGTCCATTTTTCTGTCTCATAAACATGCAAGGTTTCAGGTATGTCTTGCTACTTCTACTTATCTGGAGATCTGGAGTTTATCTGGAGAGAGTTCCGGGGGTCAACGCCCCCGCGGCCCGGTCTGTGACCAGGCCTCCTTAGGTCAGTGTCCCAGGATGCGACCCACACCAGTCGACTAACACCCAGGTACCCATTTTACTGATGGGGAACATAGACAACAGGTGGAAAGAAACACGTCCAATGTTTCTACTCTGGCTGGGAATCGAACCCAGGCCCTCACCGTGTGAAGCGAGAGCGTTAACCACCAGACCACTTAGATCACACTACACATACATGTACAAGCATATATATACACACCCCTCTGGGTTTTCTTCTATTTTCTTACTAGTTCTTCTTGTTTATTTCCTCTTACCTCCATGGGGAAGTGGAACAGAATTCTTCCTCCGTAAGCCATGCATGTTGTAAGAGGCGACTAAAATGCCGGGAGCAAGGGGCTAGTAACCTCTTCTCCTGTATATATTACTAAATGTAAAAGGAGAAACTTTCGTTTTTCCTTTTGGGCCACCCCGCCTCGGTGGGATACGGCCGGTGCGTTGAAAGAAAGAATTTATATATATATACATATATATTTATATATATATATATATATTTTATATATATAAATATATATTTATATATAATATAATATATATTATATATATACATATATATATTTATAATATATATATATATATATTATTTTATATATATACATAAATATATTTATATATATATATATATATATATATATATATATATATATATATATATATATATATATATATATATATATATATGTATATATATATATATATATATATTATATATATTATATATATATATATATATATATATATATATATATATATATATATAATTTATATTATATATATATATATATATAATATTATATATATATATATATATATATATATATATATATATAATATATATACAGTGGACCCCCGCATAACGATGGCATCACATAGCGATTATTTCGCATAACCGCTTACTTTAATTGCAAAAATTTTGCCTCACATACCGCTAATAAAAACCCGCTTACCGATTTTCTTCCGAGACGCGCTCACATGTTCCGCCGTGGCATTGTTTACCAGCCAGCCTCCGCGGTAACATCCAAGCATACAATCGGAATATTTCGTATTATTACAGTGTTTTCGGTGCTTTTTCTGGAAAATAAGTGACCATTGGGCCCCAAGAAAGCTTCTAGTGCCAACCCTACAGCAATAAGGGTGAGAATTACAATAGAGATGAAGAAAAAGATCATTGATAAGTATGAAAGTGGAGTGCATGTCTCCGAGCTGGCCAGGTTGTATAATAAACCCCAATCAACCATCGCTACTATTGGTGGTACAGCTGCTGCTGCTGCTGCACTGTCAGCTGCTGCTGCTGCTGCACTGTCAGCTGCTGCTGCTGCTGTAGCACCGTTGTTGGTGTGGCTTATTGAGAATACCAAGAAACAATTAACCCCAGAGGATTTGCCACCCAGGATAACCCAAAAAAGTCAGTGTCATCGAAGACTGTCTAACTTATTTCCATTGGGGTCCTTAATCTATACTCCCAGGATGCAACCCACACAAGTCGACTAACACCCAGGTGAACAGGGAAAAATGCCTGGAACTAGTGCTCATATTGGTGAATTTAAAGCCAGCAAAGGTTGGTTTGAGAGATTTAAGAATCGTAGTGGCATACACAGTGTGATAAGGCCTGTTCTGGAAGAAAATGCCAAACAGGACCTACAGTACTCAGGAGGAAAAGGCACTCCCAGGACACAGTGTCTCATCAGTCATTGCTGCATCTTCAATAAAGGTAAGTGTCATTTATTCTTCATTTAGTAGACTAGTACATGCACAATATATACTGTGCATGTACTACTCTACTAATTGTGCATGTATCCTTCTCTTTGTGTGTGGGAAAATGTATATTTCATGTGGTAAATATTTTTTTTTCATACTTTTGGGTGTCTTGCACGGATTAATTTATTTCCATTATTTCTTATGGGGAAAATTCATTCACATAACGATTATTTCGCATAACAATTACCCCTCTTGCACGGATTAAAATCGTTAACCGGGGGTCCACTGTATATGTGTATATATATATATGTGTATATATATATATATATATATATAAATATATATATATAATATATATATATATATATATATATATATATATAAATATATATATATATATATATATTATTTTATAAATATATATTATATATATATATATATATATAAAATTTAAAAAAAAAATATTATAAACTGTCAAAATTTTTAGGGGTTTTTAACAACCCCGGGAGAACCCCCCCAAAAGGTAAAAAAAATCCGAATGTTTTCATTTTGGTGTTTGCGAAAAATTTTTTTTCTATAAACACAGGTATGGGTTTTCTAAAAAAATCCAACGGGAACCCACACAAAAACAAAAGCAATTTAAACACCCCCTCCTGTTTTCTTTATTTTTCTTAAAACTAGCTTCCTTTTGTTTATTTCCTTTAACCTTTTTTTTGGGGGTGGAAAAGATTTTCGTGAAAAATTTTTTTTTTAACTTTTGGGGGAGCAGGTTAATTTTTTTCCTTATTTTTTAGGGAAAAAAAACTTTTCGTTTTTCCCCCTTTGCCAAAAAACCCGGGGGCCCTTTTGGAAAAAAATTTGGTTTTAAAAAAAAATTTTTTAAATTTAAAATTAAAATAATTATATTAAATATTATAATAATAAAATTATATTTTTAAAAAAATTAAAAAATTTAAAAATATTTTATATTAAAATATACTGTTTTAAAAGGGGGAACAAAGAAGGTACAGGGGGGATAAAAACAAAAAATTTTTTTTTTATTTTTGTTGCCTTTTTTCTTCAAAAATAAAGGGTTGTATGTCCCACTTTAAATTCATTAAAAATTTTCAATACATGTTCAACTATATAACAAAATTGGGTTTTTCTTCTTTTTTCTTACTTTTCTTCTTTTACCTTTAAACCCCGGGGAATTAACAGTTCCTTTTGTGTTTTTGTAAAGGCGCAAACCCGGGAGAAACTGAACCCTCTTCCCCTGTAAAACAAAAGTAAAAGGAAAATTTTCCCTTTTCCCCCCGCCGGGAATACCGGCTTAAAGATTAATTGAAAGTTCCCAATTAAAAACCAATTTTAACCGTACTTATTAAATCAAATAATTTTTTTGCATTTTTTAAGGGGGAAAGGAAACACAAAAGAAAAAAAAAGGGTACTTGACTAAAGTGTAAATCTAAAAAAAAATTTAATATTTTTAATAAATTTTTTTTATTTTGAAGTATTATTATATTTAATATAAAATTAATTAAAAAATTTTTTAAACATATTAAAAATTTTTAAATATCAAAAATTATACATTTTATTTTTTTTTAAAACATTAAAATTTTTAAAACTTATCTTAAAAAAATACAAAACAAAAAAATACAAATCCCCCCAAAACTATAACATTATTAACAATCATATTAAATATAAAGCCAATCAATACATTATTAATCAGTACCCTAATATTAGATATCATAAAAATAAAAAAGTGTAAGTAAACCCATATAATTATAATTATATATATAAAATATAAAAATACTATATAATAATACATATATAAAATATATAAAAATCATATATATATACATATAACATAAATTATATAACATATAACATATAATATATATACAATATAATAAAATATATACAAATAATATATAAATTATATTAATTAAATATATAATAAACATATATATAATATACAATAACAATATATATATAAAAATATAAAATATATATAAATACATAAATATATATATATATATATATAATATATAATATATATATATATAACTATAAAAATAAAATATAAATATATATAATAATATAATATAATATAAAAATATATAAAATAAAAATATATAATATATAATATATATCCCATAAAAAAATATATATATACATATATAATATATATAATATAATATAAATATATATAACAAATAAAAAAAATAAATATATATAAATATAATATACATAAATAATATATTTTATATATAATATATATAATATATATAAATATATAATATATATATAAATATAAAACAAAATAT